AGAAGAGGAAGAGAAAGAGGAGGAGGAGGAGGAGAAGAAGAGGAGGAGGAGGGGGAGGGGAGGGAGAAGAAGAGGAAGAGAAAGAGGAGGAGGAGGAGGAGAAGAAGAGGAGGAGGAGGGGGAGGGGAGGGAGAAGAAGAGGAAGAGAAAGAGGAGGAGGAGAAGGAAAAGAGGAGGAGGAGGAGGAGGAGGAGGAGGAAGAACAACCATTCTTATTGGCATGCTTACACAAAATTTAAAATAAAGACCTTTCATTGGTTACATAATGGTATTACTATCATTACAGTTAATGAGAAAAAAGGACTATTCTTTATGCTCATTTTTAATCCTGTGTGTATGTTTAAAAAATCTCTTATGTTCATTAAAGCCTGTAAACCCCTCCCCCCCCCATTTTTTGGGGGAGAAACTGTCTTGCTGATTCTTGTGATTTTTTAAAAAACAGTTGATGCAGTGGCAGATATATATCTGGTGAACTTTTCTAAGCATCGCCAACTGATTTCTGCTCTGCTTAAAACTGAACAAACAGGGTATCTCTCTTCTTGTAAAAATGATGTAGCCCATGTTAAGGGGTAGTTAGTAATAATAATATATGCTTTATATCGAGCTACAGAATTAAACAAAGATGCTGTTTTTGTTTTTATTTTAACAGAATAATGTCACACTGTAGACACCCTAGGGTGCATTTTACAGCACAAATCCAATTCTTTTGTTCATGGGAGCTTATTCTCAGATAAATACATTTAGAGCCGCCACCTTACATTTGTAGCTGAAGTCATAATAAGAAAAGAACATACCGGCAGCTAAAAGCAGCGGAGTGACCCAGCATCTGTGTCCAAATCAACAGTGCACAATAGATTTTTGCAAATATTGCCTAAAAATGTGGTCTTGGGTTGTCTGGCATGCCACTTTCTGAGTCTGCATCTAGCAGCAATCTTTAATTCTGCAGGAGAGGAGACAACTGACTGCGTTCCCAAAGGACTGCTAATAAATCTCGGTGTGTTTGGGACTGGTCGTTGTGACAACCAGATCTGCCCGGCTAATCATTCATCACAGCACACGCTTGCCTTTTATCCTGGGCAAAAGCTGTCTAAGAACGCAAGGGGGGAAAATGTAGATGCCAAGGACAGTACGGTTCATGCAGCACGCAAAGGAGCGTGTGGGTTGTGTCCCTCCAGGACGGTTTAGTGCAAGCACTAGGACATTCAGGCAAATGCTGGGATCTGTGCATCATAAAATCATAGAACCGTAGAGTCAAGATGACCTCAGAAGTGATCCAGTCCAGCCGCTGCCTCAGTCCATCTCTGCAGGGCCCAAGGAGGCCGGTGTGCAGGACCGATCACATATTTTGCCAAGGCTTACGGCCACTGGGGCAAGTGGAGCCAGATATATGATCCTCTATTCTGGGAACTTTTTACAAGAGATTAAGGGCAAGTTGGGTGCTGTGAGCCTTTCGTGGTTCCCTCACCAAAAGACTTTTCAAAGTGTTTTTACTGTTTTTTATATGTAGTTGTTTTTATGTATTTTTTTTAATTGTTGTACGCCGCCCAGAGTCACCTTGTGACTCTGCACTGATAGATAGATAGATAGATAGATAGATAGATAGATAGATAGATAGATAGATAGATAGATAGATAGATAGATAGATA